CACCGCCGCACGCGGAACCGCCCCACCGGCCGCCACCGGCGCCCCCCGCTACCCTCGTGGTCCAGGAGCACTTTGTCCGGGCTGTCGTCGGCCGCGTAGGCGCCGCGCGCGTCCGGGGGCTCCTCGGCGGGCGGCACGTCGAGGAAGAGCGAGAGCCCGGCCATGGCGCCCGCGCGGGGACGAGGACACCCGTCCAGGAGGCTGCAGGGACAGGGGATGACAGCACAAGCTGGGTGATGCAAGGATGAGGGGACACAGGGGGTCACACAGGGATGGCGGGACACAGGGATACGGGATCATTGGTCACCAGGGAACCACGGACACACATACAGACGGCTGCAGGGACAGAGGATGGCAGCACAGGCAGAGTAATGCAAGGATGAGGGGACGCAGGAACATTGGTCACCAGGGAACCGCTCCCCAGGGAACCGCGGACACAAACATGGGGACCTGTCCGGGCCCTGCGGCACCGGGAGGGCAAGCGGCCCTTCCCAGCGCTCCGAGCCAAGGAGGGCGCTCGCAGCCAGGACGCCCGGTCCCTCGTGTCCCGCTGCTGCCCGCGGGACACTCACACAGCAGGTGCTGCCCGTGCAGGTGGACGGGCCCCGCGCCGCTCCGCGGGACGAAAGTGACGGGCGGCACGAGCTCCAGACCGCCCAGGCTGACCTGCACGGGGAGGCAGCGGTGGGTGGCGGGTCCCAGCGCTGTCCCCGTGGCGCTCTTACCGGCTCGTCGCCGGCCTCCACACTCAGGGCCACCTGCAGAGCAGGGGAGCCCGTGGCCACAGATGCGGGGGACGCGGGGCCGACGCCTCCCTTACTGTCTTCAGCAGGATCAGGTGCTCCAAGAAGTTGGGGTCCTCTTCCAGCACGCAGCGCCCGGCGCTGGAGCTGAGCTCGCAGCCTGCAGAAATGCAGCGTCAGCCCCATCCTTACCGGGGGCCACCATCCCCCTGCGCCATCCCCAGGGGACAAAGAGACCCTCAGGGGGTGCAACAGGACCCTGAGGGACCAGCACCAGAGCCTCACCCCACGGCACCGCCACGGGCCGCTCCGCTGAGAGGGTCCCGCAGGAGAGGAGGTGGCAGCTCCCCAAGGCTGCTCCATAGCCTACAGCTGAAGAGGAGGAGGAAGGTGCAAGGAGAGGATGAAGAGCCCCTACAAAACCCAAAACAAGTGCTCCGGCGCCTGCCGCGCTTAAGGGAAAAGCCCCCGGGGGAATTGGGAATTGAGTCACCCTCCCGCCCCGGGGGCTCCAACCTGGGCGGCGCTCCCTGAAACCACCCGGCTCCGCAGCAAGCGCGCCCTGTGCTGGGACACGGGACGGAGCGCAAAAGCACCAAGGCACAAAGGTGCAAAAATGTTGTTATAAAAAAAGTTTAAAAAAAAATAGCAAAAAAACGTTTTTGCATTTAAAAATATAGATCTATTAAAAGCATTATTTAGGTTAATGGTGTAAATTAGCAGCAATAATCCAGACCCTCCCCTTGCAGCCCCTAGGTCTATGTGGGGGCGGGGCTAGGACCCCCCATGAGGCGTGGCCAATGCGGACCACGCCCACAGGAGGCGTGGTCAGAGAATCACCGCCTCGAGCGTTTTGCTCCGCCTCAAAGAGGCGTGGCCTAAGAAAACCCTACCCCCTTTTGCCCCGCCTTAGTGGGCGGGTTCCCTAGTTCCCCGCCCAAAATAGGCGTGGTCATTAAACCCCGCCCCCTAGTTTTTTTGCTCCGCCCAAAGTGGCGTGACCAGATATGTCCCGCCCCTCGGTATTTGCCCCGCCTCCGGTGGGCGTGTTCAACGAGGGTCCGCCCAAGTGGGCGGGGCCAGGGAGAACCCGCATCTTTCCCTCTGGCTCCGCCCGCTGCCGTGTCGTTTTCCCGTGGTGCCGCGCGGCGCGCGGGCCGCGCTGGCCGGAAGGGGCGGGGCGCGGTGGCGGCGGCAGGAGGAGGAGGAGGCGCCGCCGCCATCATGTCGGGCCGCTGCTGCCCGGGCCAGACGCCGAGCCGCGACATCCCGGGCCCCGGCAAGCGGCTGGCGCTGCCCGACGGCGCCCCGCTGCCGCCCGGCGCCTACAGCACCACGCCCGGCGGCACCGTCTTCGGGACCACGCCGGGCGGTAGGGCCCGGGGCGGGGCGGGGGGGCGAGGGAGGCCCCGGCGGGGCCCGTTTGGAGCGAGGGCCGGTTGGGCCTCCCCTCGCAGGGGGCGGTTGGGGGGGAAGGGGCTGTAGAGGGGTCCTTTGCCCTCAAATCGGGGGGTCCTTGCGGGTGGGTATCGGGTCCCTTGTGCCCCGGGGGGGCACGGCCGCCGTTGGGGGGGGTGTTCACGGGCTCTGGTTCTGCTGGGGCAGGTTGGGGGGCTCTTTGTTAACGGGGGGCTGTGGAGGGGGCTCCTGCCCCCCGAGGGCCCCTCAGGGGCCTCTCCTCCCCCTCGGGAGGCCCCCGGCCCCAGCCGGCCCCTGGGAAGAGGCTCCCCTTGGGACGGTGGTCCTGGCCGGATGGTTCCCGTGTTGGGATCCGGCACCCCCTGCCCGTTCCCAGCCCCGCGGCGGAGCCAGGGGGTGTCCGCGGGTTCTCCGCGCGGAGCAGCGTCCCCCCTGCCCTGGGTTACTGATTAATTCCCTGCTGGTGTTTCCCTCCTGGTTAAGTAAACGCTGCTGCCCTTGGGGGTTGTCCCAGCGCTCCGGAGCGCGGTGCCCGTCTCAGCAGCAGGGCACAGCGTGTGCAACGAGAGCCCCTTTCCCTCCCGCATCGCTGCGAGTCACCCCGAGCGGCCCCCGGCTTTGGGGGAGCCCCGGGGTCCCATCTGCAGCACAGTGAACCCCCTCTGGAGAACAGCGCCTTCAAAACCCTGGGCCGAGAGCAACGGAGGTACCGGGGTGGCAAAACCCCGTGTTCATCTCCATGCCACCCAATGCAGCCGAGCCCTGCTGAGCAGGGCTTGGAGGGCCCCTTTTTTCCACCCATTTAAGACTTGTTTCCCTGCTGTGTAAAAGAGCAGCGGGAACAGCAGGGATTAACGGAGCAGCCTGTGCTGGTAGCCGTGCTGAAGGAAGGGGCTCTGCTCTTGCCCAGACCCCGGGTTGTCCCAGCCCACAGTGTTTTTGTGGGCTAAACTCCGAAAGGGAAGTCAACACTGCTGACTCGCTTGGAGTTTCTTGGGTTTGTGCAAGAAAAGCTTACAAAGGGAACCGAAATTAGTGTTATTTTGCCATTTTTCCCCTCTCTGAAAGCAGCGACTGGCTGCAGTGCTGGAGTAGCCCTTGCAACTATGTCATGAAAGGGGTGTTAGAATTAATGCTCCTCAGCTGCGTCCTCTGAAGTGACAGGCTGCAAGTTGAACACTTGCCCTGCGTAGTAATAAGGGATTTCCAGGATTATCATCTGTTTGTGTTGAGGTGGTTAATGAGTGTCCAGAGCAGACATGCGGGTTGTGTTTGCTGTGAGGGCGTGCAACACTCGGAGCTCTTGTGACCGCTTGCTGCATCCAGCCCCTCCTCATCCTCTTTGAGGACAATTCCCTCTCCTAACACCCAACCTGCGGGCCCTGTCTGCAGGCCAGGTGTGAAATTTCCACGGATTCCCGGAATTGACCCTCCCAATTTACCAGCATTTGAGTTTTAAACAATACTGGGCTTAAGTTTGAAGCACATCTACTGTTTACTTTCTCTCACTGGGAGAACTGGTGTTGGGAAAATCCACTTATGGACCAGAGGGGATCCGAGTTGATAAGGGCTGATACTAGAATGTAATTTCTCAGCTTGACTGCTGAGTTCCTGGAAGGAAGTGGCCTTAATACCTGCTTTTAATCTATTCAAGGCTTTTGATTGAGAAACACTTCACAGCTATGGCAGGCAGGGTTAAACCTATCTAGCATCCATGCCCTTTCAGCAGGCATATGGATCTTTGCTTTTCCAGTCATCATATGCCTGTGGATCAGCCTTTTTTCCCGCTCTATTTGTGGTCCAAAAGCCAGGTTCTTCCTCGCAAGGCTTCTCCTGCTCAGCCCCGAGGTGAAGCTCTTCACACAAGCTGCTTCTGAGTCGCTACATGCATTGAAGGGACGTCCAAAAAATGGGGTTTGTGAGAGGGATCCTCCCGAGGGAAGCAAACAAACAGGAATGTGCAGCGATGCTCTGCAAAAAGGAGTCACGTTTTCTTTATTTCAGCCTCTTCCCAGACTTTTCTGGGGTCTGTCCCTTTGGAGGGAGCGACGGGATGAGGAAAATGCCCCGATCCCTCCACACGGGAGGCACTTGCAGCAGCCTGCAGGAAGGAAAAACATCCAAAGAAGCCAAGAGGAGCGCGCGAGAGGCGCTCCGTGACCTTTAAGCATAAAGAGCCCGTTCCCAATAACGCTCCGTTCCTGTTTGTCTGGGCACGCTGCCCATTTGCCACGGGCGCACGCGCCCATTGTCCTTCCCAAAGTGAATTCCACAAGAATTCTGCTCGGAGCTCGGCCAGCTCCGTCCGTCGCAAACCCGAGCGCGGGGGAGAGCTGCTGGATGAGGGATTGGGAAGGGGCCCTTTCCCTTGGCGCGGGGGGAAGGCTCTTTGCCCGTTCCCAAATGTTCTCCCGATACTCGGAATGGGAGCCGCTGTTCTAGGAAGCGCCGCCCTCCCCTTTGTGAACCAGCCAGCAACTTAACGCTTAACGGGCTGGGGCTGCTCCTTGGGAGCTGCTGAATTGGATTATTCCCCCTTTGGATCCGGAAGAGCGGCCAAATCCAAAACCTGGTCCTGAAAAATTGAGTGTTTTCCACTTGCTGGCAGAACTACCTAGTTCCATTCATTTTCTAGCTGTGCTTTAAAACAAAGGTGAGGTTTTATTCTGCATGTGTGTATCCCTATAGCTAAAACTCAAGAGTATAAGTTGGTTTTTTTTCCCATTTCAACTGGGCTGGGAATAGACCAGTAAAGGTCCCATCCAGAAAGGGAAGCTGCAGCCTTACCCTTGATGTGGCAGGAAAAAAAACTCCTATTTTTCAGTGCTTTCTGGGTTAAAGTTGTGGTCTAAATGGAGGGTTCTCATTTTTGTGGCTTTGGGCTCTTCCAGCACCAATTCCTATGTAAGAAACAAGCTGTTCAGCCTGGTAGTATTCCTAGAAATCCGTGCACGGAGCCTCAGCTCCGTTGCTTCCTCTGAGGCTTGTTCTAATCCACTGGAGTTGTTTTGCTCCTCTTCAGCAGGAAAGGGAGGATGTGGTCTGGATTCAGCATTAAAACAGATGAGCATTAAGGGCAGTCTGAATTAAAGCTTTTTTGGAAGGTTAATCTGAGCTGCGCTGTCAGCACGTGGTGTGTGAATGCTGAGTGTGGCAAAGATGCCCTATTTCTATCCTATTTCTAGATACATTTGCTTATATCTGCATATAACTTCCTGACAACTCAGAAAAGCTTATTATTATTTAAAAACAGAAGCTGGATTTAATTTCACTCTTGCTATGACCTCATGTTAGACCAAAAGGGTCCTGTTGGGTGCAGCACTGGAATAGATATTGGAGCCCTGTTCATTCCACACTGGTAGCAAAACTTTTTATTTGGGTGGCTGCCTCTTGTGCCTTGTTTTTTTGCAGCTCGAAACAGTGCTGGTAGTATCAGACCTTCTTCTGGGGTTGCTTGAAACGAGCAGCGAGTGCTTCTTGCTGTTCCATGTGTGTTTTGGATCCCCAGATTTATTCCCTGGAGTGTAGACCACACTGGAAGGACCGTTTCCTTGAAGGAAATGTTGTCCCTCTTGTGTTTAATGCATGAAAACTCGCTCTGATATCGAGGTGGTTAAGGGTACGGCGTTGTTCCGAGCACTGAGTGTCGGCTTCTTTCCCTAGGTACCAGGATTATTTATGATCGTAAGTTCCTGATGGAGTGCCGCAATTCTCCCGTTGCCAAAACGCCGCCTTCCGACCTTCCGGACATTCCAGGTGTCACCAGCCCAAGCGTGGAGGAGTCCAAGACCGAAAACAACCATGTCCAGAACTATGAGGAGAAAGAGAACATGGGTGAGTGCAGAAGTTTACACCAGGGATGGAGCCAGATGCAGACAGTCTCCATACTGGGGCAAAAAACCTCATTGCTGTCATTGCTGTTTAAGTTGAGTTTGGTTCTTATGTTGTATTATCACTTTACTCATTTGCTTTCCAGTTGGGAAATGGTTGATAGTGCTTTAAGGGAATAGCTGTTGCTGTTCCTGCCTGTGGTGTTTCACGGTTCCAGTTTCTTAATTGATTGGGTTTGATCAATTGATGGGACTCATTCCAGGCCTTTTTTCAGACACCAGTCTGAGAAGATCTCAAGTTGCTATGAGATTACCTTTTGAAGCAGGATAAAATATCTATAAGAAGTGATCCCCTTCCTAAGTCTAAAAGTAGTCTGCGTACTCATTGACTTATTAACTCGTTTTCTAAGCAAAAACTTCCCAGGATCAGGACTGCTTGGTGGGTTTTGTTACACGGCAATGAGCTTCAGCAGCTCGGGTGGCTTGGAGCTGCAGTGCTGTTGCACTGCAGTGTGCAAGGCAGTATTTAATGTGGCACTTGGACTCACCCGTGGTTTTCCATCCTTCCCAACAGCCGAGGAAGAGCAGTTTGACATGGACATCTAAAGCACGTGCCCAGCAAGCGCTCCACTGTTGAAGAACGGGACCTTGTCCTGAGGATTCCCACCAGCAGGGCTTCCACAAGCCCAAGCTTTGAGTGCCTTCCTGCTTCCCGGGAAGGGCAAATCATTCACTTCTGAGAAGAGTGTGTCCTGTTACACAGACTGAACCTCAGCCTCTCTGCGTGGCTGCAAACACATGAGCGCAGCCCCTGCTGGCGATGGGCCGCGGGGTGCAGGAGGAGACTTTCTCAGATCGTTTTTTTTTGTTTCGGGTTTTATGCTTTTGTTAATCATTGTATTACTGTAAAAGTTGCAGAAATGCAAATAGGGGAGGAATAAAAATGACTTGGTGTCTCCTGATATGGGGTTTAATGCAATAAACTGGGCTTTTATCCTTCATTCCAACAGGACTGCTGCTAATCTGAGGCCTTGGAAATCTGCTTCCAGACACAGTAACTGATACTGAGGTGCTTCCAGCTGCTGCTTTTGCTGAGTTGTCACGGGTGTCCCCAAGCTCCCATTGCATTCCCTGTCACCTGAAGGGGAGCAGAACTGCAGGTGAAAGGTGATTAGGAGTCCCCTGTGGAGGGTCCCCTGCTCGGAGCTGCCTTCTGGGAGCTCCTGCAGTCCCTGCTTGGGAGGCAGCTGAGCCTTCAGCTTCTGTGCAGCCTCTCCTGCCTTTCCAGCATGGAAAGCAGGAGCAAACTCTTGCAGCAGGGAAGCAAGAAACCCCCAACTGTCCCGTTTTGTTCTGCTTTTCATCCACACTAAACTTTTTGCTCATCTTAATCTTTGCCTTCCTCCAGAAAGAGGAAAACTAACTTTAAAGACTTGTAATCACCCCAAAGGAGGTCCAGGTTTCTAAGGGAGAAGGGTTTTAACTGGGGGTGTTGGGGGTAGTTGCCTGTTTAAGGAAGCTGCACCCAAGCACAGCTCTACCATTGAGCTCAATGTAGCTCCTACGTGCGGGTCCAGGCCTGGGCTGTTTAACGAACGTGTATTCGGAAGCAGTCTGTAACTGGGTTAGTGTTTTAGCAGTTCAAAGGAGCAGGCCCATTAGGACACAGCCTGAACCTTTGATTTCCCCCGAGCGTCTGCTCAAATCGCTGCTGATAATACTTAAAGATCTGCTAATTAACTTCAATTGCTGCATTATGGTCTGCAAGCCTTTAACAAGGAGCAACAAAAGCAACAAAGGCAAAGCAAATGATGTGGGTAAACTCGCGCTTTTAAGGTGAGGTTAAGCGTTTCTCTGAAGCCTTAATGGGAGCAGATTCCGCCTTGCTGCTGTCAAGTGCCGTTTTATCAGTGTTTTGCAACTCAAAATCGCACTTGCCTTGTTGTGTGCGTTTAGTGAGAAGCTGCCGCACTGCTAGAATGTGTTTTGCAGCTGGGGCTGGCTCTTCTTCCCGGCTAAATCAGTATTTTCAGGTCAAATGATGCTCCTGAGCTTTACTAGCTCAGCACCTGAGAGCCCTGTACAGCAGTAATGAGGTTCCTAAGTTCTCATAGATCTCCCCAGCCCTTTCCCACTGATTCCAGAGGATCCAGGCACCCTGTGGAAGCTTCTTGCTTTATTACTAGAGAGGGGAGGGTGAAAACTGAAGTCTTTAGGAAAAATTACCGTGTTAAGTTCGCTTGCTGAAGGGGATTACTTTAAAGGACAAATTAGAGGGTTGTGGGTTGTTTTGGTTGTGTTTTGGGCTATAATTAAGAATATTCCCTCTGTGTTAGGGAATGGGAAGTTAAGGAAACTGAAGCTTCCTTTTCCCGTAGCAAAATCCCTTTGACTTACCCAAATGCTCTTGTAGCTAATGCCCGAGCATGACTTTAAAACAAAGGGTTTTGCCTTTGCAACCAAGAGTTAGATTGGCATAACCCTTGGCACGCGGATACCCCTTTCCCAAGGGCACAAGAGGGGGGGTTCTTTGTCCCTCTCCTGCCCCAGTCTTCCCCAATGAAAACTCCATCCAAAGCAGATAAACTTCAGGCACTTTCTAGGTGTCTGGCACAGGTTGCTCCCCGGCAGGCCCTGCTGTGTTTGCTCTCTGCGGAGAGCTGCCCGCAAAACTCGAATTTCCCCTGGGATCGCCCGTGAGAGCCGGGGTGCTGGCGGGGAACGCTGGGCCGGGCTGGTTGCAACGCGGCCCTTCGATCCGGCGTGCAATCCCTGCCAGCCCGAGGCTCGCGCTCCGCTCTGTGCATCCATGGACAGGGATTCCGCGCTCCGCACACAAGACCCCATGGTTTTCTAGGCATCCCCTAGCGCAGAGGAGGTGCCGGCATCACGGAAAAGCCCTGGGATGGTGGTGCTGGGAACGGTACCACTGGGCTGTGCCACGTGCAGCAGCTTCCCTTGGGGAAAAAAACCGCTTATTCCGGACATGCTGATTTTGCTGCGCGTTTCAGCCCAAAGACAAGAACAGGGCAGGAACACCTGGACTATGGGGCTTTTTTGTGCAGGGATCAGCCGCCGAGGGTGCAACACTTGCCAATCCTCTCCTCTCGAAGCGCAGGCGAGCAGCGCCGGTGTTTGAAGTGCGTTTTGGCCCGTGACACCTCCGGGCCGGCACCGAGGGGCTTGGGGAGGTCCCCGCGTGGGTGGCCCCGGGTGGCTGAACGCGGGAGCGGGGCCGCTTGTCCCCTCCTTGTTGTGACAACGGGACACGCTGCGTGACACTTGTGGCCGCTGCGCCCTAATGCCGCACGTCCAGGCCCCGCATCGGAGCTCCCGCCGCATCCGTCCCCTCTTCGCGCTGTCCCCAAGTGCTGCTGCACCCCTGGAAGGGGGTCTCCTGGGTGCCAGCCCCCTGTTTTGGGGGCAAATCCCTGCTTTTTTGTGTGTATTGGGGGGGATGTCACCTGTTTGTCACCTTCCACCAAACGGTGGCATCTCCAGCCTCACCGCATCCGTCGTGGGAGGCGAAGCTGGGAAGCGCCGAGGAGGTCGGCAGCCCCAGCGTCACTTCTGTCACCTCCTTGCACGGGCAGAGCGGCGAGCGCCGCGTCCCGGGCGCGCAATGACCCGGCCGGGGCTTTAATCGGCCCCTTGTGCAAATACCCCCCTCGCGCCGCCGATAAGCGCCCGCCCGCGCGCCCCGCCGTCCTGCATCCGAAGCAAACCGCGCTTATCCGTGCTTATCCACGCCGCCGCTCTCCTTGGCTCGCTTCGCCCTTGCTGCCTGCACGCCTAGGGCTTGCTCCCAATCCCGATCCAACCAGGATGCTGCCAACCGGGATGCCAAAAGGGCCACAAGGCTCCGGAGCGGGTCCCCCCGTCACGAGCTCCAAGCGACGCTCCTGCTGCCCCCAGTGGGGCGAAAGCCCCGTGTCCCTCCCCGCCGAATCCTGCCGTGTGCCGGGGCCTCCGAGGGCACCGGTGTGGATTGGCCTCCGCGAAGGGCCGTTCCCAACGCGCGCTCTGCCTCTTTGATGTCTTCCCTAAAGCCTTTATTTCCCCATCCTCCTCTTCCAAAAGGAATGACCGTCCAGGTCATCCGTCTGCCCCGGCCTTCCCGACGATAAGTCGGGAGCTGCTCCGTTAGCGCGTGATGGAGGGGCAGAGACCCCCGAGACCCACCTCCCCGTCCCTAGCTGATGCAACCCCAGGGCTTAAAAGCGACCCGCTGTTTCGCAGGCGAACAGGCCCCCAAACAAAAAAATATCCCGGCTTTGATTTGGGAAGGAAGCCAGATGCCAGCGCCGGGGTTAACGGCTCCTGCAAATGACCCTCTAACGCGCGGGGCGCGAGGAGGAGCCGCCGGCGGCGCCCGGGGAGCCGCGCGCTGGGAACCAGACGCGCTTTGTTTATGCGCCGCCTCCGATGTGGATTGCGGATAATTGGGGCTGTGGGGATGTGGAGTGGGAAGCGGCGGCTGCTGGGCCGGGTGTGGGGGGCGGGAGGACGGAGCAGCCCCCGCGGCCACCTGGCTGTCCCCTGCGGCCACCCCGGAGCATCCCGGGTCACTTGGAGCACCCCGTGTCACTTGGTCACCTCCTTGGCCACCCCGGAGCATCCCGGGTCACTTGAAGCACCCTGTGTCACTCGGTCACCTCCCTGGCCACCCCGGAGCCTTTGCACCTCCTGGTCACCCTTCCAGCCACCCCAGAGCATCCCGAGTCACTTGGTCACCCCCCCGGGCCACCCAAGGTCCTTGTGCCACTTGGTCACCTCCCCGGCCACCCAGAGTATCCAGTGTCACTCCGTCACCCTCTCCAGCCACCCGGAGCATCCCGTGCCGCCTGGCGGTCCCCTCTCCCTCCCAGCACCTGCAGGGCTCCCGTCCTGCCCCTCTGCTCCCGCTGGCCACCCTGCTCCCATTCCTCCACCATCCCAATCCGCATGGAGAACGGGTGAGGGGAGCAGGGAGCGGAGTCCCTGGAGCTGCTCTCCCATATTCCCACTGAGGAAATCCAAGCGGGAGCTCAGGGATGCACCCATGTCCCAGCTACCCCAAAAGGGAGGGAATTGTGTCCTGGGGAGACGGGTGGGAAAAGGAGCTTAGTGGAAGTGGTGGAAATGGAGCAGAGCCCACGGAGCTTTTTGGAAACAGCAAGTTTATTGATGAGGTACAACCGTATCCCTCCGTGGGATCCCATCCAGCGAGTGGCCGGAGGGCTCCGAGCCAAGCTCTGCCTTCCCAGTGCTGCCTGTTTCCCAGCGGGATCGCGGCCATGTCCGAAAGGAAAAGCGCCGCCTCTCCGTGCCCAGCGAGAAGGACGGCGGCCCCAAACCTGGAGCTTCCCCTTGCTGCCCGTGACAGGGGCCGGTCCCCGTCCTCTTTGCACCAGAGACTCCTCTCTCCCTGCTCCCTTTGGAGCTATTGCTGGGAGGTGCTTCCCAGCTCCGCCGCTTAGTCCTCATGGATGTTCCTGGGGCAGATCCGTGGCCTTCCGGACGCTCCCAGGGTTGATCAGCGGCTGTTCAGATGCTCCGGGGACCAATCCATGGCCGTTCGGATGCTCCTGGGGCCGATCCGTGGCGGTTCGGACGCTCCCGGGGCCGCCCCGTGCCCGTTTCCCGGCGTTCCCAGCCCGGGAGGAGCCCGCTTCAGTTGCAGCCGCACTCCTCGATGACCATGTCCTCGTGGTGCCGCACGACGAGCTCGCCCTTCTCGTAGTAGAGCATGGAGAGGGGGCTCATGCGCACGGGCGAGCACGCGGGGCACGGCACGTGCCCCGGCTTGTAGAGCCGCAGCAAGCTCTGCGGGAAGAGATGCCCGTGAGCGGGGCCGCGACCCGGCGGCAGGGCGGGAACGCGGCGGGAAAGGCCCTTACCTGGATGTACGCATGGTTCGTGGGCTTGAAGGTCTCGTCCACGGGCGACGGGCACTGCCCCTCGCAGCGGTAGGCGTTGTATTTTTTGGGGTAGACGATCCAGCTGCCCCAGCCGGTCTGCTCGAAATCCACCAGCATGTCCACCCTGCGGCACAAGGAGCCGGCGGCCTCGGCGGCGGCCGGCGCGTCGCTCACTCTAATCCGCTGCTTTTCCTTCCTATTCCGGCGCCGGCGCCGGCCACCCGGCTCCGCGGAGCTGCCGTCGCGCAGCACGTGCTTGGAGGCCTCCGCGGAGCGCAGGAGGCTGCAGGCTCCCGGGAGCGACGGCTCCTTGGAGAAGACGAGCAGCAGGACGCGATCGGTGACATCCGCGGGCAGATCCAGCTCCCCGGCGCTCGGCCCCGGCGCGCTCGGCACCGCCGTGGCCGGGACGGCGCCCGGCTCCACTCCGTGCGGCACCGGGATGCTCTGGGCGCCGGGGGCCACCTCTTGGTGCAGCCACGCGCGGAGGACGCCGGTGACGTTGAACACATCCCAGGAAGCCTGGGTGAAGGAGGAGGTGCCGGCGAAGGTGCCCAGGAGGAGCCGGGCGCAGCTCCGGCTCTGCGCGCACGGCTCCCGCGGGCTGTGGTAGAGCTCCAGGGTGGCACGGCGGGAGCGCCAGGGCTCAGGCAGCCGCACGCGCAGCTCCGCCAGCTTCACGTCCCGCGCGCTCGTCAAGGAGCTCAGGTCGAAGGAGAGGGCCCAGCGGGAGCCGCGCCGGAGCGCCCCTGGAACGGGAGGCACCGTGAGGGATGTGCCGGGCGGAGTGCTGCCCCGTGCCCATCCCGCCGGCTTTGCTGTCCCTGCCCACTGGGATCCCTGTCCCCTTGGGTAACTTGCGGGGAAATCCAGGGAAAGCGGCCAGTGATCACCCCAGTCCCGGCTGGGAGCCGGGGGCAGCTGCTGGCTTTGGAGCTGGAGCTGAGCCCGGCGCTGGGACGCGGATGTCTGAGGACTGGGGAGCTTGGGACACCGCTGGGCTTAGAGACAGGGAGTGTGGCAGTGCCAATCCCGGATGGGAGCCTTGGGAACAGGGATGCTCACAGAGACAGGGATGTGTGGGGACACGGGAGCCCGGGAATGGTGCTGGTGCCGGGGCCAGGGATGCTCCAGGACAGGGATGTCCCGGACAGGGATGCCCAAGGACAGCATAGCCAGGGACAGGGATGTTCCGGGATAGGGATGCTTGGGGACAAGGGAGCCTGCGGAGGATGCCAGGGACACAGAAGCTCCAGGATGGGGATGCCTCGGGACAGGGAAAACTGGAGATACAGGAGACAGAGGCAGGGATGGACACGGGAGCCCGGTGCCGGTGCTGGGGACAGGGATGCTCCAAGACAGGGATGTCCCAGGACAGGGAAACCCGGGAATAGCAGAGCCAGGAGGCACGGATACCCAGGGACACGGGAACCTGGGGCAGCCCTGGTGCTGGGGACACGGGAGCCCGGTGCTGGGGACAGGGATGTTCCAGGATGGGGGTGCCCGGGGCCAGGGAAACCCGAGGACCGCGTAGCCGGGGCGGGGGATGCCCGGGGGAGCCGGGTGCCGGTACCGGGGATGCTCCGGGCCGGGGATGTCCCGGTACCGTCCCCGGGGCTCCTACGGGCTCCACTCACCGTGCGGGGCGATGCTGAGTGCGGAGGCGGCGGCGTCGGGGGCGCGCAGCGGGGGCGGCGGCGCGCGCAGCAGCTGCAGCATGAGCGGGGGACAGCGCGGCGGGGCGCGGGGCGGCGCGGGGCTCGGCGCGGGGCTCGGAGCGCGGGTCGGAGCGCGGGTCGGAGCGGGATTCGGAGCGGGGCTCGGAGCGCGGGTCGGAGCGCGGGTCGGAGCGGGGCTCGGAGCGGGACTCGGAGCGGGGCTCGGAGCGGGGCTCGGAGCGCGGGGCGGAGCGGGGCTCGCTGCGCGGGGCGGTGCGCGGGGCGCGCAGCCCGGGCGGAGCAGCGCGAGGGCGCAGAGCGCGAGCAGCGGGGCCCGCATGGCTGCAACGCGCCGCCCGCCGCCGCCCTATATGTGCCCGGCCCCCGAGCGCCGCCCCGGGCCCCCTCCCTGCCCTGCAGCGCTCCTTCCTCCTCTGCCTCCCTCCTTCCTCTTCTGCATCCCTCTTTCGTTCTACTTTGCACTCCTCCTTCCTTCTCCTCTGCACCCCTCCTTCCTCCTCCTCTCCCTTTCACTCCTCCTCTCCCTTTCATTCCTCCTCTGCATCCCTCCTTCTTCCTCTCCATCCCTCCCTCCTCCTCCTCTCCATCCCTCTTTCCTCCTCTGCATCCCTCCTTCCTCCTCTCCATCCCTTCTGCCCTTGCTCTCCGCTGCCATCTCGCTTCCTCAGATCTGCCTCCTTCCCTGCTTCTCTCCATCCTTTCTTCCCTCTCTTTACCCTCTCCAGCCCGTCCTGTTCCCGGCTCCCCCAGTACTCCCTCCTTCTCCCTATGCTCTCCTCCCTGTCCCTATTACCCTTATCCCTATTTCCATCCTTCTCTGCTTTACCTACTCTTCTTCTCTCCATCCCTCTCTCCCACTCCGTTCTCCCCACGCTCCCTCCTCTCCATCCTCCTCTCCTCCTTCCTTCCCATTCTCTGCTCCTGCCCGTTGTCCTCCTCCAACATGCTCTCTCCTCTCTTTCTCTCCCTGCCTCATTCCTCACCAGGCTCCTCCGGGCTTTCGTGCGGCCTCCCCGGGCCTCCGTGTGCAGCTGCCCCTCGGGGCTCTCCCGGTTTTCACCGAGCCCCGCTCCGCCCGTGAGGACGAGGTTGGAAGTTCGAATCCTACCCAGGGAAGATCTGCGCCCCCCCCTCTGCCCCCCAACGGTTCCAGCTGTTTTGTAGCCAAAATCCGTGGCCCGGGGTGACACCGGAGGACGGAGACGGGCTCCGTCACCCCGCACCCTTTCCAGGGGTATCCGTCCCTGTTGCCCTGCCCTCCACACGTGGCCCAGTGTGGCAACCCGCCACGTCCTTCCTTCCTTCCTCCGTCACCCGCGGAGCCCACGCAGACGGCGACGGCGGCACCCGGACACCGCGGCCATGGGTGGGTGCCGGGAAGGGGCCACCGCAAGCGGGAAATTGCACCCGGGGGGTGTCCTCAGCCCCCGGCCACCGCGGGGACCTTATAAAGGAGGCGGGTCACACGGGGGGGGACACGGCAGGCAAGCCCGGGGTGCCATGGCAGGTCCACCCCCTCCTTGCGCCACCCTCCTCGTCTTCACCCTCCTCTTCCTCTGCACAGAGGCCGAAGGCTTCGCTGCCCTGCAGACCAAGGTCTTTAAGTACCGGTAAGCAGCGACCCGGGGTTGTGGGGGGGCTGACGGGCACCGCGCAGGGCATCTCCATGTGTCCCCGCCTTGGTAGGATCTGGGACATGGACCAGAAGCTGCTCTACCTGCGCAACGACCAGCTGGTGGCCGGGCACCTGCAAGGTGCCAACGCGGCCCTGGAAGGTGAGGGGGGTGGCACGGGGTGGTGGCGCTGTCACCGTGTCCCTGGTGGGTCACCGTGTCCCCCCCCCGGCTCGCAGAGAAGGTTTTCTGGGTGCCCAACCGCTCCTTTGCCCAAGCGCGGCAGCCCGTCATCCTGGGCATCCAGAACGGCACGCGGTGCCTGGCGAGCCCCGCCGCCCCCCGGCCCACGCTGCGCCTCGAGGTACCGCACGGGACGGGGACACGCGGAACGCGGGGCGTCCTGGGGACAGGGCGTCACGGGGAGGGCACACAGGGCACGTGGGGTGTGGAGGGGATGGCGTGTGGGGGGTACGGGGCACTGGGCGATGGCACCTCATGGGGACAGGATACGTGGGACTTTGGGCATCGTGGGGACGGGATCTCATGGGGGTGGTACAAGGGGCGTCACAAGGATGGGACATCGTGGGGACACGGGCAGCATGGGGACACGGTGTCATGGGGACAAGACACATGGGGTGCAGGACATTGCGGGCACAGGGCACCTGGGCATCGCTGGGACTGGGGACAGGACATTGCGGAAATGGAGCACACGGGCGTCACAGGGATGTGACAAGCGGGCACAGCGGGGACAGGGCACACGGGCCAACGTGGGCACAGGCTGCACGGGGGCCGTGGGGACAAGCTCCATGCTGGGCGGGCACCACGGGCACGGAGCAAGAAGCCATTCCCGGCCGGCACGGCACGGGGGCGACACGAGACCCCCGGTGCCACCACCGCGCCGCCCCACACGCAGGACACGGACATCCGGGCGCTGCCGCGCGCCGGCGACGCCTCGGCGCCCTTCACCTTCTTCCGCTCCTACAAGGACGGCATGTGGCGCTTCGAGTCAGCCGCCAACCCCGGCTGGTTCCTGTGCACGTCGGCGCGGGCGCACGAGCCGCTGGGGCTGGCGCGGGGCCCCGACGCCACCCGCGTCCTCGACTTCTACTTCCAGCTCTGCTGAGCCAATAAAGCCGCCCCGCCGCTACCCGAACGCCTGGGCCCCGTCGGCGGCTCTGTCTCTCTTTCCTCGCCGGGGCGGTGGCGTCAGCGCGGCGGGATGCCCGCTCTTGCGCCAGCCGCGCTCGGGGACGTCCCCGGCGGGGGGTGACGCAGGCGGCGGGGCGGCCGCCGCGCGCCGTGGGGATGTCCCGGCACGGCCTATTCCCGGACGCGGAGGCCGGCGCGCCCCGACGTGTCGCTGCGGGATGGGGATGTGCAGGGGACACCGAGGGCATGGGGAATATGGGGTGCAGGGATAGCACGGGGATAGGGGCATCATGGGGACAGCGCACGCTGGCGGCACAGAGAAACGGCACGGAGGTGTCACCAGGATGGGGCACCCGGCCACGGGACATCACGGGGAATGGGGCACGGGGATGACGCAGGGACAGGGCACATGGGTGTCACTGGGACACCGGGACGCCACGGGGAGGGGCAAGGGGACAGCCATGGGGCCGTGGTGCGAGCAGGTTCACGGGGCCGGGCCCCGGTGTTTCCCAACGCCGCGGCCCGGCCCGCGCATCCTTCCGGCGCCGCCGGCCGTGCCCTCCCTCCGCCCGGTCCCTATAAGAGACGCCGCCGCGCCGGGCGGCCCGCGGGACGGCACAGCCCACGCTGGCACTCCGGAAGCCGCCAGGTCCGCAGGTATCGCTCCCGGTACCAGGGCAAGGAAGGAGGGAGGAGGGGCAACCCGGAGCGTTCACTCTGAAGCCTACTGACAGCAGGCAGCCGCCGGTTTCGCCTCTCTCCCGCGCAGGCTCAGCCATGTCCTGGGCACCCAGAGAGCAGAGGTGAGTCCTGGCGCGGGTGGCAGCGGCTGGGCTCACCCTGGAGCAGCACCCGTCCCTTCTCATCCCTCCGCTTCCCCTTTCCCGCAGCTCCGCCGCGCGCTGGTCCAGGCTGGGCAGGTGCCAGGCGAGGTGGGGACGGGGCACCCAGATGGGCGCAGGGTGCCCGGTCCGCACCCCGGTGCCCGTGCCCCCCGAGGCTGCCGGCACGGGATGGAGGGACGCCGGGCGCTGGGGACGGTGGCAGCCCCGCCGGCCGGCGCTGGGCATCACGGTGGCCGCCGGCCACCCCGAGGTGTCCGTGGTGGACCCCGACATGGAGGCGCTCTTCGACGAGTTCCTGGGCAAAGGTGGTGTCCCCACGTGCCCCTGGGCTCGTCCCCAAGGGCTCCCTGTCCCCGTGGGCCCTGTCCCTGCGCCTGAGCACGTGGTGTCCTGGTGTTCTGTGATGTCCACATCCCTCTCCCTGCGATGGCCTCGTCACCACGCTGCTCACATCCCTGTCCCCACGATGTGCTGCCTATGGTCACATCCCCATGGTGCCATCATACCCGGCCCCATGGACATGCCTCCACACTGCCCATGTCCCCACGTGTCTGTCCCCATGAAGCCCGTGTCCCCACCTCATTACTCATGACCCTGTCCCCATGAAGCCCCCACAGTGCCCATCTGCCCTAGGATGCCCATGTCCCGAGCCTGTGGCTCACATCCCTGTCCCCATGACACCCTTGTCCCTACGTGTCCTGCCTCTACGATGCCCACGTCCCTGTCCCCAGGATGCCCAGATCCCCACCACATTGCTCACGTGCCCGTCCCTGAGGAGCCCCTGTGCCCCCGGGTGTCCTCATGAAGCCCTTGTGCCCTGTCCCCACGTGTCCGGTCCCCATGAACCCCCCGTGACGCCCACCTGCCCCAGGATGCCCGCGTCTTCTCCCCACACCCATGTCCCCTCCCCATGCTTGTGTCCCCTTCTTCAGGACAGCCGTGTCCCCTGCCCCTGCTCACGTCCCCGCGCCCTGTCCCCGCTCTCCCTCGCAGAAGGCTTTGGGGTCACGGCCCCCGAGGTGGGCACGGCGGGACGGCAGCCGCGGCAGCCCTACCACTACCGTGTGCGCGACACGGACCAGAAGGTGCTGTGCCTGGAGCAGGGGCGCCTGGTGGCCACCAGCCTGCAGGGCGCCAACGCCGCCCGGGAAGGTACGTGCGGGACACGGGGGCCCTTGGGTGTCCCCGCGCCCGCCCTGACGCCCGGCTCCGCGCAGAGCTCATCAGCGTGGTCCCCAACCGGCACCTGGAGCGGAGCCGCTATCCCCTCATCGTGGGTATCCGTGGGGGCAGCCGGGCGCTCTCCTGCGGCACCGGTCCCCAGCCCCAGCTGCAGATAGAGGTGAGTGTCCCACGGGCCACCCCCGGGCTGGGGACACGCCCAGGTGGCCCCTCGAGATGGAGGGAGCTCGGGGTGATGGTAGCTCAAGGTGGAAGAGCCACCCCAAGGTGATGGTGTCCAGGGTGGGGGGCACACAAAGCGGGCCAAGGTGCAGGGTGCCCCAAGGTGGGGATGTCCCCAAAGTGGGGCCTGCTGAGGCGGGGACACCCGCAGTGGAGGTGTTCAAGGGTGGAAGAGCCTCAAGGTAGAACACCCCAAGGTGGAGGGCACCCAAGGGCGGGTAAGCCAAGGTTGGGACATCCTGAGGTGGGGCAGCACAAGGCGGTGACATCCAAGGGGTGGAGGGAGCCGGAAAACGGGTCATCCCAGGGTGGAGGGCACCCCACGGTTGGGTAACCCAAGGGGAGGCGACACAAGGTGTAGGACGCCCTTAGGTGGTGGCTTCTCGGTGTCCCAATGGTCCCCCAATATGGGGAGCTACCCCCAGGGTGATGCCACCATCAGCTAGGGGCACCCCAAGGCCCCTGTCACCCTAAGGTGGTGTCACCCAAGGCCACATCACCTCAAGGTGGTGTCACCCAAGGCCACACCACTCAAAGCCAGCATCGCCTTGACGTGGTGGACCACACCACATCAGAGCAGTGGCCACCCATGGCCACGTCCTCCCAAGCCAGCGTCCCCCAAGGCCACTGTCACCCCAAGGCGGTGTCACCCAAGGCCACGTCCCCCCAGGGCACTGTCCCGCGGGTCCCCCGCGCCGGGGGCCGGCGGTGACGGGCGGGCGCCGGCAGGACGTGCCGCTGCTCGAGCTGTTCTCGTGGGCGGCGGGCGCCGAGCGCTTCACCTTCTACAAGAGCTACAGCGGCTCCACGCACTCCTTCGAGGCGGCCGCCTTCCCGGGGCACTTCCTGAGCACGGCGCCGCGGGCCGGCGAGGCGCTGGCGCTCACGGCGCGGCCCGGCCACGCCGGCGCCATCACCACCTTCTACCTGGAGCGCGAGCAGGCGCCGAGCCCCGTCCCCGCTCTGCAATAAACGGCTCCGCCGCCGCCGGCTCCGCGTGGCTCGGGGAGGGGGATGAGCCCCGCCGTGGGGCATGAGTGGGTCCCCGTGGGGCAGGATCGAGCCCTCGGGGGGCAGGATGAGGTCCCGTGGGGCAGGATCGAGCCCTTGGGGGGCAGGATCAGGCCCCGTGGGGCAGGATCAAGCCCTCGTGGGGCAGCACGAGGTCCCAGGGAGCAGGATGAGGACCTGTGGGGCAGGATCCAGCCCTTGGGGGGTAGGATTGAGCCCTCGGGGGGGCAGGATGAGGTCCCGTGGGGCAGGATCGAGCCCTCGTGGGGCAGGATGAGGTCCCAGGGAGCAGGATCAGGCCCCAGGGAGCAGGATCGAGCCCTCATGGGGCAGGATCCAGCCCTCGTGGGGCAGCACGAGGCCCCAGGGAGCAGGATGAGGCCCCGTGGGGCAGGATCAAGCCCTCGTGGGGCAGTGCCAGGCCCCTATGGGCACAGGATCAGGTCCCCATAGGGCAGCATTGGGCCTCTGTGGAGCACAACTGGGTCCCTTTGGGACAGGATCAGGCCGCCATGGGGCACAATCAGATCCCTGTGGGGCAGAATCGGCCCCTGTGGGTCGGGATCGGTCTCCACAGGGCAGGACCAGACCTCATGGGTCAGGATGGGTCCCGTGGGTCGGGATTGGATCCCCAGGGGGCACGGTTGGCCCTTGTGGGTCAGGATCGGTCCCTATTGTGCCAGGATCGGTCCCTGGGGGTCGGGATCGGGACCTCGTGGGGCAGAATCCGCCCTTGGAGCATTGAGGGGTCCGGGATGCGGCGCCGGGAAGCGGGGTGGGGCCGCGAGGGGCGGGGCTTATGGGGAGGCGTGGTCAGAGGGCGTGGCCTCCCGCCCTCCCGCTCGGGGGCGGAACCCCGAAGAGGGCGGAGCCTGTAGGTTTCCGGAGGGCGCCGGGCGGGGGGCGTGGCCAGGAGGTGGCTCCGCCCCGCGGTGCGCCCCGAGAGAGCGGGTAAGGGGACAGAGGGGGACACCCCGAGCCCCTGGGGACCCGCGCGGTGTCCCCAGAGCCCCCATGTCCCCAGAGCCCCCGTGTCCCCCACGGCCCTGGGTGGCCCCGGCAGCTCGCGGGGCTCCAGAACCCTTGAGGGTCCCTCCTTTCCCTGCAGTGTCCCCCATGTCCCTTGAGGTCCCCCAGTATCTCTTGAGGGTCTCCTATAGCCCCGAGCGTCCCATATGGGGAGTCCCTTGTGGCTCTTGGGGTCCTCTATAACCCTTGGGAGGCTGCAGAGTTCTAGGGATGCCCCTCACAGACCTTGAGGTTCCCTCCTCTTGTGTCACCCCCGTCCGTGGCAGGTCGCCTGTGTCCCTTGGTGTCCCCCATAGCCCCGGAGGGTCCCCTCCACCAGCCCTGGGGCCCTTGGGGGTCACTTACAATCTCTGAGCCCCACTTTGGCCCTAGAGGCTCCCCCAGGGCCTCCCTGCCCTGTCCCGCGCTGTCCCCGTCGCCCCGCGCTGTCCGGGCCCCGGGCTCATCCCCCGTTGCCCCGCGCTCTGCCCCGTTCCCCGCTCTCCCCGCCGTGTCCCGCACCCCGTCGCGCTGTCCCCCGTTCCCCGCCGTTGTCCCCCGCTCCCTCCCCGCTCCCGCACGTTCCCCCGCGCTGTCCCCGCCTCTCTCCGCCGTCGCCCCGCGCTCTCCCGCCGTTGCCCGCCGTGGCCCCGCGCTGTGGCCGGGAGGCGGGCGCGCGGGGCGTTGCGCGGGGCGTTGCGCGGCGCTGCGGGGCGTTGCACGGGGCGTTGCGCGGGGCGTTGCGCGGGGCGTTGCGCGG